CCACACGGGAAACTGAGAACTATTTGATTTTAGAATAATACTCTATTTTAGATATTTAACGATGCATCTACATATTATAATGCATTATCTTTTATTTCATCTCAAATATAAAAATTAAAGCTATTAAGCTATTTAAAAAAAAAAATGACAGTCGTTATATCGCTTGGGTTAGCGAACTGGCTTAATGCCCTCCTTCCGCAGACGAGGGCCATCAAGACGGTGTCATCTTTGTCAAATACTTAGTGGCTAGCCCCCCCCCCCACACACACTCACACATTCACATTCAACCCCCCACTCTTTCTATAAATTGAATACCCGATCATGATATGATTCCTTGTCGTGTTTTGTGGTTCTGGATTTCTCTGTTGTAAGATATTTTTGAGTGACGGGGAATTACTCAGATCCGCGACTGTACAGTGCAGTGAACGATTCCGCACTAGCCGGGGATTAACTCCAATAGCTACAGACGAGATCTTTTCGGGACTAGCATATGATTCATTTTTATATAAATAATTTAATTGCGTGTATGGGTCTTTAGCAGTAGGAGGTAACCGGAGGACCTGGAGAAAACCCACGAGGTTGGACAGGCGACCCTACTTTTTGTCACGTACAAGCGGTTAATTGAAAGCACGCCACTTTACTCAATGACAGACCTGATCCAAAGTGCTAGCGTTAACCATTCGAACACCGAACCCTCATTTTGGGAACCAGTATCAGCTCCGAATGAACAAACAGTAAGATTAAACGATCGTTTAATTAAATGCGCGTTCCAGAGAAGTTGCAGGTATGCTTATTGCCGTGGTATAAGAGTTTCAAGGATATAGATAAAAAATTTTTACCGCTACCTGCCATTAAACAGCTTGTTTGCGTTATATAAAAAGTAGCTAATTATTTGAAAGGGACATATCTTTATTTCAAATTATATGTGTAACAATGTGATTGATTGTCTTCTATGTTTTTTTTTTAAATATCTACATACAGGATGTTAGTCAGCGATGCTTATTTTACAGAAGTTAGTCCAGAATGCTTGTGTTTTACAGAAGTTAGTCCGCGATGCTTGTGTTTCACTATATATACCTAAACTATGATATTGTTTTAATTTATGCATTGTTAATTTTTGGTTTAGAATCATACTTACCCAACTATATTGGCCCAGTATAACCCGGTTGGTGCTGCTATGTTATTAAACATACTTTCTTTCATTAATTATTTTTATGTACGCTAATCAATTGTCTGTTTTACAGCTAATACCCCACGAAACATTGAAATAGAGACATCGACCCAGGGTCTCATTACCAGAATTAATGATATGACAGTATTGGAAGAAGAGAGTGAGACTTTAACATGTACAGCTGAATGTACTGGTACTTGTCAGTATACATGGATGAAAGGAAGTGAATTAGTAGCATCTACAAGTCAACTTCCGCTAAATAACATTAACTCTACTATGGGTGGACTTTATACGTGTATTGCCAGTAATAATGGTTGCAATATAACAAGACAAATACGCGTTCGTGGTGGGTAATAGTTTCATACCAGCAGATTACTCTTTCTTTAGATGTTCTTTTATCAGCATTAGCACAGTTTCATATACTTTCTGTCGTTTTTAACAGTTTAGCTGAATTACCACACCAAAATATAGCAGCAGATTAAAATTTTAACACCTCTTACTGAATTAGAACGGGTAATTGATACTTAAAGGAATTGTTATCATAAATTTGTTACTATCGGTAACTGACAAAGAGATAAAAGCATAGGCAACAATACAGAAAAATTATAATTATTAATTATTAATTGGCGTTTTTGTTTTAAATGGTTTAGATTTGTTTCGGGAAAAGGAACAAAATTCATATGTTTCATTGATCTTTTGTTAACGCCCCTTTAGAGATTGATTTATCGCATTGATAATGTGAATAAGTTGAAACATGGAACCAATTGTTTTAGGCTAAACGTACCCGTTATCTAATAATGATCTATAGGACAGATTTGTTTTTCATTTTTGTAGCAAACATAATAATACTGGTAAGTAATGTAGCCTAAACGTTGTTAGACCTTAGCTCACTAACTTGAAGTCCCGTGTTAGATTTCTGCGTTGACTGGTGAATTTTATCGGGAAATTACCGGCGTAGGACGGAGGGTCTGGCAAGGTACAACGTATAGTCGTTCGTATGGGACGAAAAACCGAGGTCCCGATGCACATTGGCGTGCATGTAAAAGATCTTTGACAATTGGACTTCGATATAAGAGTAGGCCGTAGTGCCGCTGTCCTGGAAAAATGTCCCCCGTGGCACATTGTATGGCGTATTCCTGTCTTCATTATCCCAACCGGAGCAGCAAAGTTTATAAATGGAATGTATCTGTAGTGACAATTGTACGTCTTTCTAAAACAAAGGGTAATTAATATGTTCAGCCTAGTCGATATGAAAATGAAATGCAATGGGGTTTAATTTTCATATCGACTAGGATGAAAATATTAATTACCTTTGTTTTAGAAACTACAGATTGTAACTACAGATACATTCCATTTATAAACCCTGAACCTATGTTTATTATAATCGTAACATGATTATATTATTATATTATGCTGTAGTTGGGGGATCACGGGGGCTAAGCGGGTTAAGACGCTGGCTTGCTAGTCTGGAGTTCGGGTGTTCGATCCCTGCATTGGCCGAGAGATTTTCCGGTGTGGTTTCCCCTTGTAAGTGATGCAGGGCGTAGGGCCTGACAAGGACAGTTGTCTAGTCGTTCGGATGGGACGAAAAACCGAGGTTCCGTGTACACATTAGCGTGCACGTAAGAGATCCCTTGGCAGTTGGAATTCGATATAAGAGGATAGCGCCGCTGCCCGGGCAAAATTTCCCTCATAGCACACTATATGGCGTATGCCCGTCTTCATAACCCAGTAGGACGTTAAACCCCATTTCATTTATATTGCAGTTAAAGATGCCAATTTTATCAGTTTTGGACAAAGCAAGACCATAACGGTACAAGAGGGGACTAATATCTCCATTTTATGTTATTCAAATGGTGATAACTGCGATTACCTCTCCTTCGTTTGTGGAAATAGCTATAGTTACCATTCTGGGTATTATTCGTCGACTGGTGATAATGAAATGATACTTGTCAACATAACCAAGGAACTTACTGGTGAATATACTTGTACACATTACGAAGATGAAGAACAATCTAATACGCACTGGTCAACATATAAAACAGTTAACATCGTGGTTGAATGTAAGTAGTGTCACAGCGTGCCCATGACAATACACAACATTTCTTATCTTTAAAAATAAAATGAAAGATATTTTAACTTGCGGACAAGGTATGCAAATTGGTCAAGATGACGTTGTGAATAGTATTTCTGAAAATTTGAGAGAAATATAATTATTGTAATTATGCAGAACAATGATGTTATATTGTGAATTATTGCTTCTCCTTTCTAAAGATATAGATTTCATCGACTGTCGAGTAGCTATATTTTAATTACTGATTATACTTCGAGGGTCATTCATTTTACAATCCACAAATTTTGATGAAGCTGTCATTATGTTTAAGAGATGAGCAAAACGCAAGGAGATTAGATTGGGTGAAATGTGGTTAAACGTCCACAATACAAACTAGGTTGTTTGGGAACGAACACATCGTATATCTGCATCTCAATAATTCACTTGCCCATAGGTGTCGTTACCACTGACAGAACCATAGTGAAAACTCACAAGGTTTGACAAGCAATCGTGAGAAGTAAACCACACTACGGGCCTTGTGATATAAAGATAAACCGTCACCCAATACTCATTTTGAAACTTAACATATAGTATGTTTCTTTCAATGTCATAATTAGTGTTAATAACACAATAAATGAATCCAGTTTCAAATGGTGTATGTCAGTTTTTATGTCATTGTGTTTATCATAGATGCACCATCATCAGTAGTAATAACTCCAACATCAGATCCAGAAACAATACCAATTGGAGAATCTCTAAGCTTCAACTGTTCTGCTGATTGTCAACCAGATTGTCATTATACATGGACATATAACAATGTTACGGTCTCTACTATGGCAATTTATACCATCAATAATATTAATACAAGTCACAGTGGTATCTATACCTGTAGTGTTTTCAATAGACTAGGAACTGAGTCAAAATCTACTAATGTTGTAGTAAATGGTAAGGTTTATGGAAATTTTAATATGATTATTTAGTTAGTTATGGATATTATGAAGCCCATTTGTATAAACAATTTCATTTTTGCGAATTGATTAGTTTAATTGTCACTTGCTTGGTAATGTTGTAAGTATACTCTTCACTCTTCCAAACGTTGAGTAAATAATTTATCAATTTTTCTTCCATAACTATCGATCTGTTTAGGTTCTCAATGCTTCTCTGTTTTTCGCGTAAGACGTAATGCGTCCCGAAGATAAAAAAAACTAGTAGGAGATTTTATTTTCCACCCAACCCTTTCTTACGCGCACAAATGAATGAATATAATTCTTTGGTATAGATTTAATTTTATTGAACCTCATTACATTACGGCGTAGTGATACATCATTTTTTGACAGCAAGTCACCCGTTGCGAAGTCCTATATATTGACGCGGTGTTTCCTTCAAGCTCAAAGCCACTACGAAGCGAATGTGTTTATGGTAATTGAGAACTTTCCTCCAATAATATTACTGGATCCAAAAAGTAGTCTCTTTTTGATAAAAAAGTAGTCCCTTTTTAATAAAAAAGTAGTCCCTTTTTAATTGACCAATCAAATACATATAAAGCGATATTGCCCAAGGAGATATCGCTCAGTAGATTATGAAATTTATCACACAACCGATATATACTGTAGAATGTGTTATTGGGCTATACACTAAAATGTTTAAAACAATCTAATTTAAGACGACCTGTTATTAATTTTACCCCAGGTGGACCACCAGCAGTAGTATAGTAACAGCACCACCATCGGAGCGAGTGGAGAATCATAATTATAATTTGTTGTTCTGATTGTCAACCATATTATACTTTTCATGCTAACGATGCCATATTTAAATCTTTTCAGCCCCTTCTGTACAGTTACCAAACATGACATTAGTAGCATCCGAAACCACTGTTACAACAGGTGCTTCAGTGACCCTAACATGTTCTGCATTTGCCCAAGACGAATTAAGCTGGCTAGGTCCATCTCGTGTGATCACAAACTTCATGAATGGGAATGGGTGTTTTAGATTGAGTGAAACAGACGCCCCTGATATAAGCCATATATCAATAACATGTGGTTCTGGAAGTGGTGCATTAAGCGATTGGACAATAAGTATTCTAACTATTAACAACTTCGACCCAGGGAGAGATACAGGATATTGGGGATGTTCAGATTTTACCAAATCTATAGGTGATAGTGTGTATTTGAATACAACAGGTAGGTACATTTTTTATTGATTTCGGGCTAATTGAACTCCATCCGGAACCAATCACCTGTAAATGATTTGTGTGGGTGTGAACTCGCATAGCACCCAACACTGCAACTCTGGAAAAGGAAGCAGCCAGTCGAACAGAAAAATAGAGAACGATCATAAGTTTAAATAGTATATTTAGGTTTTTGCAGTAAAGAACAAAGGTACCTGTGTCAATAATATCTGATCTAATGTAGAGTCTTTCGATTGGGAAGTGAGAAGTTAAACATTGAAACACTCTAATATTTACGCTGGCAATACAATCCAAGCAATTTATTCCCCGACAGGTGTGAACAGCACTGTAAAAATCGTTAATCCCACTGGCGATTAATGTTAGTATTATATTCTTATCTTTACATGGTTGATAATAATAATACCTCTTTTTACAAGACGCTGGAATTAAAAATATTAAGATAACATCTTCAACTGGTTTTATATCTTCAACCAATGAGCTAACTTTACTATCCGAGGAATCCGATGTTTTAACTTGTACAGCCGAATGTACTGGCATCTGTCAATATAAATGGATGAAAGGAACTGATTTAGTAGCATCAACAAGTCAGCTTTCGTTAAATAATATCAACTCTACTCTGGGAGGGCTGTATACATGTATTGCCACTTATAATGGTTCGGAGCTAAAACGGTCATTAAGATTATACGGTATGTATTGAGACATTGTAAAATATTTCAGTTGTTGCTTCTTCTGTGAAATGTGGCTTCCCCTTATCAGTGGTGCAGGATGGAGGGGCCTGACAAGGACAGCTGTCTAGTCGTTCGGGTGGGACGAAAATCGAGATCACGTGTATACATTGGCGTGCACGTAAAATATCCCTTGGAATTCGATATAAGAGTAGGCCATAGTGCCGCTGCCCGGGCAAAATTCCCCCCATAGCAAACTGTATGGTGTGTCAAGCCAAAAAGTAAGATTGTGTACTTTTTCTGTTGGAATACAAATAAACACGGACTAAAAAGTACAATTTTCATACATTCAGATAAAAATAAATGTTGTACTTGAATAAACATAACTACATAAGATATGCATTTATATTGAGTTGTTTTATCAATTCAAATCTGTAATTTTTTAAAAAATATATTAATCATACAGTTCAAGACAGAAGTTCCATAACAATCAATCCACCGGGTGATATTATAACAGTTAATGAAGGAGACAATATAACAATAACGTGTTCTGTTGATAGCTACCAATGTAATAACATTAATGGTATAACCTGTGCTGGTAACTACTACCTATGTAGTAACATAAATGGTATAACCTGTACAAATATATGGGATGCATTCTATAACACTGGACAATTAAACTCAATGGTGATCAACATGGCTAATCGTACAATGACTGGGAGATATAGATGTACCCATTTTGAAGATGACTGGTCATCAAATACTCACACTGGAATTTACAAATCTATACAATTACAGGTTCAATGTGAGTATATTGATCATTTTATCTGTAATTCCATGTAATATATGGCAGGGATGGCCAACCTCCTGCGCATGTACCAAACGTGGCGCATATGGTGATTCGAAGTGGCGGATTGTATCTCTGTGATAATAATAAAGTAAGGCAATATACCTGCCCTTTAACGATTTTATTATTTCGCATCACTCGTCTAAAGATATGAAGGGTCATTTTCAAGATTGAAAAAGAAAATGGCGGATCCAAACATCGTGGTAGCAAGACGTGGAAATCTCACACTACAAGGAAATAGGAAAGCAATTCGAAAATCTAAGACTCGACTACTGTATTAAATAGATCAGAGTATAAATAGAGAGATAATAGCTGTCCCCAAGTTTTATCGTTTTGTCTGTAGGTGTAACCGCGATTGGACAAAAAAGTGATGAAACTGAAATTTTCGTTTACGTGATAACACGCGAAGGTACGAATTAAAGGGGTGTTGACAGTGAAATAGTTATTGTGAGTAATAGAGTTTATTTTGGACGTTTGTATCCAAGGGCCACTATTCTGTGTTGGGAAATAATATCTTCAGCCTTGTTGGTGTTGAGACTACTATGCAACAAGATGGTGTCACTTTACCTTGCCCTTATACAAGCATTGGGCTAATTGGTCCAGCGGCCTGATTTATAATATGGCCATGTAAGAATATACAAATTTCAAATGGTTTTAATCTAAATTATGAAGTTGTTCATTTAAATGTATTATTATTAATTCAGATGGACCATCACCAGTAGCAATAACACCATCATCAGACCCAGTAACAATAACAAATGGAGAATCTCTAAGCTTCAACTGTTCTGCTGATTGTCAACCAGATTGTAGTTATACATGGAAATATAACAATGTTATTGTCTCTAATATTTCTACTTATATCATCAGTACCATTCGTAACAGTCAAAGTGGCATCTATACCTGTACAGCAACCAACACATTAGGAAACATGACAAAATCTACTAATGTTGAAGTGAATTGTAAGTTTTTTTTACTTTGTTTTTGATTTAATATGATTATTTAGTCAACGGTTCTTCCTATCGAGCCAGGCTGGTGTGCTTCTCTAGGTGTGGTCACATTGGAAATTGTTTGGTAGTACTAAAGGAAATGCAACCTTGACTTGGAGAAATCTGGCTAACCAGAGCTCGAAAGTTCCTTCCGCGGGCAGATAATTTATAATACGGCCATTTTAATGGTTTTAAACTACAGTGTGAAGTTTGTTATGTCATTTAAATGGATTATTTACTATTATTAATTCAGATGGACCATCAACGGTAGAAATAACACCGTCCTCAGACCCAGTAACAATAACAAATGGAGAATCTCTAAGCTTCAACTGTTCTGCTGATTGTCAACCAGATTGTAGTTATACATGGAAATATAACAATGTTATTGTCTCTAATATTTCTACTTATATCATCAGTACCATTCGTAACAGTCAAAGTGGCATCTATACCTGTACAGCAACCAACACAATAGGAAACATGACAAAATCTACTAATGTTGAAGTGAATTGTAAGTTTTTTTACTTTGTTTTTGATTTAATATGATTATTTAGTCAACGGTTCTTCCTATCGAGCCAGGCTGGTGTGCTTCTGTAGGTGTGGTCACATTGGAAATTGTTTGGTAGTACTAAAGGAAATGCAACCTTGACTTGGAGAAATCTGGCTAACCAGAGCTTGAAAGTTCCTTCCGCGGGCAGATAATTTATAATACGGCCATTTTAATGGTTTTAAACTACAGTGTGAAGTTTGTTATGTCATTTAAATGGATTATTTACTATTATTAATTCAGATGGACCATCAACGGTAGAAATAACACCGTCCTCAGACCCAGTAACAATAACAGATGGAGAATCTCTAAGCTTCAACTGTTCTGCTGATTGTCAACCAGATTGTAGTTATACCTGGAAATATAACAATGTTATTGTCTCTAATATTGCTACTTATATCATCAGTACCATTCGTAACAGTCAAAGTGGCATCTATACCTGTTCAGCAACCAACACATTAGGAAACATGACAAAATCTACTAATGTTCAAGTGAATTGTACGTGTGTTCTTTTCTTTAAATTTAATAATTAGTGCTAATAAATATTTGTTGTACGTTTGTGTAATAAATCCGTCATTTTATGATGCAATTATATTTTGTTGATGAGCAATGGATTATTTGTGGTTGAGAAGAACTACAATCGACCTACGTTTATGTGTAAATGAATGTCGTTGAAAATGATATATGTTTTTTTATTATCTTAGATGGACCATCATCAGTAGTAATAACTCCAACATCAGATCCAGTAACAATAACAAATGGAGAATCTTTAAACCTCGTCTGTTCTTCTGATTCTCAACCAGATTGTAATTATACATGGACTTATAACAATGTTATAGTTTCAACTTCTGCTACTTATACTATAAACTCCATTACTAATAGCCAAAATGGTGTTTATACCTGTACAGCGTCCAACGTCATAGGTAGTGCGATTAAATCTACCAACGTTGCTGTTAATTGTAAGTGTTAGTTTTTGGTAATACTAGGCTGTATTCAATCCATTTCCAGTCAGATAGATCGTGAGGCTTCATTCATATGTATCATCTATTCAGTGAACAAATGTCTAAATTTGAACCCTTAAAGTTACTTTGTGAATATTATGTAACGCTTTCAAAACAAATTTAACGGATGGTCGCTTATCTACTTTTTAAACAAATGACTCATATACTTCCGTTTACATATATAACCACTAAGTGTAGTTTATCTTTTTGTTTCCAGATGGACCATCACCAGTTATAATAACACCAACTGAAGATCCTGTAATTGTGCAATATAGAGAAAATGTTAGTCTTGTCTGTTCATCTGATTGTAAACCAGTTTGTAATTATAGATGGGAATATAACAACGTGGTAGTTTCTACTAGTGCTACTTATACTACCCCTATCACTCAAAATGGCACTTACAGCTGTACGGCTAGCAATGCTATTGGAAGTGTCACAGATTCTTCAAATGTTGTAGTTAAAAGTAAGCTAATTATCATCTTCCATTATCTGATAAACCGTATAACGGAAGACCACCGAATGTACTAACATTGAAATATCTTGTCAATACGGTAGTCGGTCGTGACATATACTAGAATAATACAATGTATGACAAATATTCCTTTTTTCTTGGACTGCCCCCCTTGTTGCAAATTTAAAATAACGTATTATTGCAGGCGCGGTACTGTATAGCGAACTGGAAGCTTTCACTTGATATGATAATAGTTTGGTGGTCAGTGTAACTTGCTATCTTTGTTTGTTGTGTGTTTTATCTCCAGGTTTGACTTTTATTTGTGTAAGGCGTGGTTATGCTTCAAATTATTGCTCCATTTAGGAGCGAATGGCAGTGCTTACAACCTGTTGCTGTACTGTGGGGTGTACATGTTTGTTTGTGTGTGTTTTTTTAAAGGTTATATAAAAACAGTTGTCGTCCTATCAAATGGCACACCATCAACAATGGAACCAGGTAGTTCAATAACTATGACGTGTGAAGCGGATTGTATGCCTGTACAAAGCTGTAATTATGTGTGGAAAGACCACCAGAACAACATTCTCTCAGTGGGAAGGGAGACCACTCTTACTAATGTAGCGACATCTGACACTGGGACTTATACTTGTATGGCAAGTAACGACATGTTAAAATCGGCATCAATCGAGGTTGCGATTAAACGTGAGTAGAATAGTAACTGTAACTAATTCAGATAATCAACTAACTTGGATTTACAAATGTTAGTTTGGAGTTTCTTTGGAATTGGCGAGATCCTTTGGGTCACATGATGCTATAATCATTCCTGTCTTTTTTTCCATATTTTGACGGGGAGCCACGGTGCCTAAGTGGGTAAAATGCTCCCTCGCTAGCCTGGAGGTCGTGTGTTCGATCCCTGCATTGGCCGAGAAAGTTCATCCAGACTTTCCTGCGTGGGTCCCCCTTGTCAGTGATGCAGGACGGAGGGCCTGACAAGGACAGTTGTCTAGTCCTTCCGATGAGACGAAAAACCGAGGTCCGGTGTATACATTGGAATGCACGTAAAAGATCCCTTGGGGTCGTGTGTTCGATCCCGGCATTGACTGAGAAAGTTCATTGGGATTTTCCGACGTGATTTCTCCCTGATCAGTGATGCGGACGGAGGGCCTGACAGCTGTCTAGGCGTTCGATTGTGACGAAAAACCGAGGTCCCGTGTATACATTGGCGTGTACGTAAAAGATCCATTGGCACTTGGAAGTCGATATAAGAGTAGACCATAGAGCCGCTGTCGGGGCAAAATTTCCCTCATAACATACTGTATGGCGTAGACCATAGTGCCGCTGTCGGGGCAAAATTTCCCTCATAACATACTGTATGGCGTAAGCCTTTCTTCATTAGCCCAGTATAGAAGCAGAACAGTAGGACGTTAAATCCCATTTCATTTCATTTTTCAATATTTTGACAGATGCACCAGATGTAGAACGCATGGTTATTCACAGAACACCCAACCTGTCCTCTTATGACAAGGGATCGAGTCTTACCTTAAGCTGTTCCGTGAGCTGTGTTCCCGACTGTATAGTTCAATGGAGCAAAGGAATGACAGTGTTTACAACTTCAAATGGTGTTTTGTCTTTATCAGCTTTAGAAATGGATGATGCTGGAACATACACGTGTTCGGCTGGTAATTCAATGGGCGGTCCAATCGAGAAAATTACTGAGTTCACTGTTAAAGGTGAGTATATACCATGGCGACATTTAAATCCCATTTAACCCCAAACTATATTTGACCAACTATTAATGCCCAAACATGTCAGAATAAAAGTAAAATAGATATTAAGAACATTATGTGTCTTAGATAAATATATTCATAAGTATTATATCTTTTTCGTATCAGCCTGGATTTTTATACACCCCTTTTTGAGTCACATTGTATCAAAAGTCTTTACTTTAAAGATCTGCAATGTGCCACCTTTAATTTAATCTGTCGATAATCAGTAACAAAAGGTATTATTTTCAGATGGCCATAATCATTGGATAATGATAATAATTTATTCAAAAATAGTGTTGTAGTGTTCTTAATCTACAATAAACATTATAAGTGTTTTTGTTCAATCATTTTCATTTTCCTCTTCAGTAACTATCTCTGGAACTGGATCTGGAAGCACACCTGTCTTTTCCTGGATGATAACTGTGGGATGTTTGTTATATGCTTTAAGAATTTATTGATATGTTATATTTTAATGTTAACTTTGAGATTTCCCGGTGTCAATTTGGACTTCATAACATAGTATTTTTTTTTTATTTTCTTATATACAGCCCTTTATAAGCACTCATAACAAATACTGGTAATAGACCGGGAGCCCAGGGGGTCAACCTAGCTGAAAAGTGTACCAATTTTCTCCTATATGGTATCAATGTATGTATATCTGGTATCATCAGAATGTAAGTCTGCCGGGTTTCTGGTGGTGGGTGTGGTATTCCACGCCCTAAATGCCATGATCCCCAACTAGGCTAGATTAGCTCAAAAGTGTACCACATGAAAATCTTACTGCAGTGTACCATACATCTTCAGGTATTACAAAAACACTCTGACAGACATTTCTAGTGGTGGGGTACCCCTGGCAGAGCTATGTAATTGCCAGACATTTGTAGTGGTGGAGTATCCCTGACAAGAGTTATCTAATATTTAGACCAAAGCTAGGCTAGATTAGCTAAAATCTGTACCACCTAAAACAGCTTTGGAGTTGTTCAGTACCACCACAGGAGTCATGAATGACCACTCCCAGACAGTTTGTGCGGTGGGTTACCCCTAACAGACACGCCCCAAAATGCCACGCCCCAACTAGGCTAGCTTCGTAGGCACTGTTCCCGTGTTCTAAAAAATTAGATTTTTAGCCAGGATGCGTAGGATACAAATAACTAGCACGTATGGAAGATGTGATAAACTGCGATTGCAAGAAATTGATTTTTGGGCAAAAAACATTTTATGGGGCTAAAAATGCGTTTTTGAAAAATAAAATTGTTCCTACAACCGCAGTTTATCGCCTCTTCCATATGTGCTAGGTATTAGTATTCTACGCATCCTGGCACAATTTTTAATTTGTTTGGACCACAGGAACAGTGCCGACTAATCTATCCTAGTTAGGGGGCGTGTTATTTTGGGCGTGTCTGTTAGGGGCTACTCACCGCACAAACTGTCTGGCAGTGGCCATTCATGATTCCTGTGGTGGTGCTGAACAACTCCAAAGCTGTTTTAGGTGGTACAGATTTCAGCTAATCTAGCCTAGCTATCGACTGGAAATTAGATAACTCTTGTCAGGGATACTACAAATGTCTTACAATTACATATCTCTGTCAGGGGTACCCCACCACTAGAAATGTCTGTCAGAGTATTTTTGTAATACCTGGAGATGTACGGTATTTTGCTGTGCGATTTTCATGTGGTACACTTTTGAGCTAATCTAGACTAGTTGGGGGCATGGCATTTTGGGCGTGGAATACCACACCCACCACCAGAAACCCGGCAGACTTACATTCTGATGATACCAGATATACATACATTGATACCATATAGGAGAAAATTGGTACACTTTTCAGCTAGGTTAACCCCCCTGGGCTCCTGCTCTATAAATAAGTAATGAATGATAGCCGATGATTATAAAGTAAATTGGCTATAGCATAACCTTACTTTTGCTCAAATTGGTTTGTTTATGTGATGAATATATATGTATAATGGACACTATTTAAACAGTTTTTATCGACATGAAATGTATATTTTTCGCGAGAAAGCTACTTTTATATGATAGTTGTGGTGTAATAATGCTATTGACCTATATGTACAGCAATAAAAACATTTTTTGTAACTAAGATTTTTCTCTTTAATAATTAACATATTCTAAAATATTTTCGGATGGCAGGAAAAACCTTGTACGCATTGGCCTGCACGTAAAACATCCATTGGGAGATGGAATTCGATATAAGCGCTGTCCGGGCAAACTTCTCTTTATAGTACACTGTATGGCGTACGTCCGTCTTCGTTAGCCCAGTCATAGCAGAATAGAGCAATAGTCTTTTCTGTGTTATCTGTCCTACTTTTTTCACCCCGAAGTAGAGCTAATATCAGTTTTTATTTACATAGATTTGAATTCGGTGTGGTGATCAGGTGTGTGAGGGGCCTTTTCCGAGATACGGGGTGGGGATTGACATGAGGTGGGTCCTATGTCTAAAAGTAGATGCAAATGTAAAATTGATGATCATATATTGCACTTTACATTTCTAAACATGTAGGGGGCTAAAATATATTTTGGTGGGCAAAAACTACATAGCCCGAAAGTTGTTTTGATAAGCATATTATAGATTAGGGGCCCAAAATATATTTTTTTGGACGAAAACCACATGGTCCGAAAGTATGGAAGACCAAACAGCTCTTTATTCAGTGTTCTTAGTTCTTAATTTATAGTCCTTAATTCTTATTTCTTCGCCTGTCCAACCTCGTGGGTTTTCTCCGGGTCCTCCGGTTTCCTCCCACTGCTAAAGACCCCTACGCGCAAGCGAATTATGGAAATAAAATTGAACCATATGTTAGTCCCGAAATGACCTAGTTTGTGTCGAGTGGACGTTAAACCCCCATTTCTCTCTCTCTCTTATTTCTTCATTTGTTGTCGTATTTCGACATTTGTACAGGAAAATTAACATTTGTATCTTAAAATCAATAATCGTTTTACAAATCAGACATTTGTCACATCAGATTTGTAAAATGTATTTTTGTTTAACTTAATTGTATCTTAAAATAAAGATAATATTTTTTTTTTTTAGAAAATCACAAAATTAGCCTACATTTACATTTCATCAAAGAAATACAACGAAAAAAAAATCTCGAACAACAAATTTCCAAATACAAATCTCCAAATACAAATCTTGCAAAACATTTCTCTAAAAACATTTCTCCAAATACATTTCTCGACATTTATCGAACCGGAACATTATGACATGAGCGGAAATCAACCTGGCATACAATAAGTCACCATACAATAATGGGGAATCGAGTATACGCATATGTACATAAAGAAAAATCGTTGATGACCGCGACTGTAGTGAAACCACATGCGTAGTAAGGCTAATCGGACCGGGCCTTCGATAAAGAAAATAAATTGAAAGTAGTCTATTTTCAGAAATTCAGTTTTGTTTGATAGCGACATATTTCTTTGCCCAAAGAGAGAGAGGAATGGGGTTTAACGTCCACTCGACACAACTAGGTCATTTTGGGCCTAACACATGGTTCAATCTTATTTCAATAATTCGCTTGCGCGTAGGGGTCTTTAGCAGTGGGAGGAAACCTGAGGACCAGGAGAAAACCCACGAAGATGGACAGGCGATCCCACTCCTTGTCACGTACAACCGGGGAATCGAAACCACGGCAGTTGACTGAATGACAGACCTATTAAAATGGGTCTGTCCGTCTGTCAAAGTTCGATAATGAGCTCAGGGTAAGCAGAGCGATAAGCAATTCCAATGGACGAGACTTTGGAACACAATAACTCTCCTTCTGATTGAGCAAGAATGCCCAAACTTAATGTAGTTTTTTTTTTAGGTAAATGCTTAGGCGAAGCAGAGATAAGCAATTTAATTATTTGATGCTTTGGAACACGATAACTTAGTTCTAATTAAGTGAAACTTGGTGTGTAGTTTCATTAATTACATGAATACCTTCACTAAATTCGATAATAAGCATGAAACTTAGAGTATAGTTTCGTTACCAGGTATTTCAAAACTTTGACTTTAGTTTGATCGTGAACATTTTCTGCTTAGACTAAGTATAGATAATCAGTTTGATTGCTCAATACTTATGGAAAACATAAATGTGCAATTAATTGATATATGTCATCTATATATTTTATATTTTGGGATTTCCGCGGGGGACATCAGTCTCACTGTTGCCATTAATATGTAATTAAGCAAAACGGAGTACACAAATATCTGCTTGGGTGTGCTTGTGCAAATAACGACATAAATATGAGTATATAAGTATTATGTACCATACTTGTCTGATGGCAGTGTGAAAGCGAGAGAGTTTGAGAGAGAGAGAAATGGGGTTTAACGTCCACTCGACACAAACTAGGTCATTTCGGGACTAAACATATGGTTTAATTTTATTTCAATAATTCGCTTGCGCGTAGGGGTCTTTAGCAGTGGAAGGGAACCGGAGGACTTGGAGAAAACCCACGAGGTTAGACAGGCGACCCTACTCCTTGTCACGTACAACCGAGGATTCGAAACCACGCAAGTTGACTCAATGACATGTCTTATGATTCGCCCCCCCCCTCCAGTGTGAAAGCGGTAGGCACTAACAGTTAGAACTGTGGGATTTATACTGAAAGCCATATTTTATACTACGCGTAGCAACATCATTCTCAATTACTAATATCGTCGTGATTTGGTCATGTTGCATTCAGAATGTATTACTTAAACGAGATATGCAATCTTCTTTGATTGGCATTTAGTAATTGGAACATATTAACACAAGGAACAATTTTATGGATACACAATTACTGAGTTTAATACTAAGCGACGGTTTGCTTGATAAAGACGAGCGTATCCTCGTCGAAACGTCGCATAGTATTAAACATAGTTATTGTGTAACCATAAAATTGTTCCTTGTGTGAGATGTACAATCAGGCTCGAGGACAATTCATCCCCGAACATTATGACTTAAACTCCCAGTGGAACGCTTTTGCTAAACACCATACAGTTCTATAAAAGAGTTAGATCCCTGCATTGGCCGAGAAAGTTCATCCAGATTTTCCGACGTGGTTTCCCCTTGTCAGTGGTGCAGAACGGAGGGCCTGACAAGGACAGCTGTCTAGTCCTTCGGATAAGACCAAAAATCGAGGTCCCGTGTATATACATTGGAATGCACGTAAAAGATCCCTTGGCAGTTGGAATTCGATATAAGAGTAGGCGATAGTGCCGCTGCCCAGGCAAAATTTCCCTCATAGCACACTGTATGGCGTATGCCCGTCTTCATTAGCCCAGTATAGGAGCAGAACAGTAGGACGTTAAACCCCATTTCATTTCATTTCTATAAAAGAGATCATACGTTTAATTAAAATACAGATGTGACGTCATCCTTTGATGTTGGAGTACGGTTATTTGAAATAATGGTACGCCAACATCAAAGGATGACGTCACGTCACATCTGTATTGTTGTTACAATATATTATTTAATGTCTCGCTCTCGACCATTAAACAATACATAGTTTCCCACTCTGAATTTAATTGATTTATGATTGAAAATTGAAACGATACGAGGCCAACACAGATACGAGGCCAACCAAAAAATCCGCTCTTCGCGAACCATCACAACCGGCTCCACTCAAGCTAGTCACAAACTGGCGCCGCTCTTATACTGATTACAAACGAGCTGATAAGCTCCAGGACGGCATCGCAGGACTCCAGCAATA